AAGAATGAATATCGAATAAATTCGAAAAGGAAAAATCTTGAATAAACAAATATCGAACAAATTCGGAATATCAAAAATATCGAATGAATGAATTTCGAATAAATTCGCAAAATCAAAAATATCGAATGAATGAATATCGAATATATTCGAGCATTGGAAGTCGAATTTCGAATAAATATTCGAATGATTTATCGAATAACTAAAGCAATCACATCTCAAACTTGCCGACATATCTGGCTAAAGCCGATCCAATCATAATCAGCCCCCTAGTATCCCCTAAACCTCTTTGGTGTGTACCAAGTGAATTAGGGTAGACGAAGTTGTGTGGAATATTTATTCACACTGGCGTAGATTAGTTGAGAGCGATCTATAATACAGGCGGGAGCTCCTTATATACACGAATAGAAGGCGGAGCTTGCCCGGGTACAATGTACAACGTAGGAGGGGTACATGGCTTAAAAGGAGTTGCCGCCGTTCGGCTACACTCCTGGTGCACAGGTGCCAATCATTCTTGAGTGATTAGATACTCAAAAATGAGTGGCGTACAATTCAGCCTATGGGAACTCCATAGGCGATGTGGAAAATGGAGTGGATTGGGTTGATGATATAGAAATCATCAACACTCCGGGCGACTAGGAAAAGAAATGAGTAAAATCAGGTGAAGTCGATAAAAATACACGTAATCGTTATAGTGAACAAGCATTGGTGATATCAAAATTACGATAAATTACACGCACATTAATGACAATTTTATGATTTTTGGGACACAAAAAATTGTGAAGGCGAACGCGGCTATGATTGCGATGGTAGCCACGACGAGCATCTTTCATGACGAGAGGGCGACGCTGATGATGTTCCAATGTCGGGGTAATTGTAGACGTTGACGTACGAAGCTTCCTCGCTAGCATTCGTGAAGAGTACTCCGTTTTCGTGTGGGTGGTATGCCAGGATACCAGAGATGTTGAATACGTGGCTTTTCGTTCCGCATCTCAGTGAACAACTGTCGACATAGTTAGCGACGGTTGATTGAAGTAGAGCAACTGTTTGCACTGTGTTTTCATTGCAGAGAGCAGCATAGATGTTCTGCGTGCACGTTATCTCCACCATTGTCGGGTGCGGTAAATGACAACAGAAGGTAAGTCGTGCGCCGGTCACGCAGTTGTAGCATCCTTGAATCGATGAGGCTGTGATGTCGCAGTCTTCATTGTTGACAACACTCGCTGTATTCCATTCCGCAGTCGTGCTGATAGTGACGTTGACTATGGATTTGTGGCTGACTCCAAGTACTCTTCCATGGGCTTCTTGTAGATGTAAGAATGAGGAAGAGAGAGGCAGTCTGCTATCCATCGTTGTCGTCAGATCCGATATGTTCGTGTTCTTGCAGGTACAGTTAGCTTGGTCATCCGTCGGGTAGCACTTGCAAGTGTCCTCTACATGGCAAAGGGAGAGGTTTTTCGAGTATTCCATCGTTGGACATCTAAGAGCAACGTCGTCTTTGTCAACCAAAGCAGTCTCCGCTTTGGTGGTGTTGACTGCTTGTAAAAACACAGAGCTCAGCAGCGGAATCGTCGGCGTTGTCACGAATCCCAATGTTAGGTTAGCGTCCTTTTGAGTATGAGTGGTCTGCGCAGTAATTGTTGCAGTGTTCGTTTCTCTTCGTCCAGTCACACTTGTGTAAGTGTATTTGATGATTGCTGGTTCTTCCCAAGTTGAGCAGTGGAACACTTGGTAAATTGTTTCACGTTGCGGTTTTCCATATGAGCGGGAGAAGAGACATCCAGGTAGAGGTAGAAGGCAACCACATCCGATGCTTCCACATGACGAGGTGCACCTTGAGTATCCAGGAAATTCGTAGGTGTTGTGAAGTTCAGGTATGTATGATCGTTGGCTTGTGTGAGCACATGTGTTAGATGAGCATGATCCAGAAAAATGGCATCGTTTTGCTGACTCGGTCACTATCTCGGCATCTCTGGTGTAGAATAAGACTACGGGATTGCACTGGAGTACGACGTGTTGAAGTTGTATCTCCATGCTGCCAACTGTCTTGTTATCATGTTGAATCCTGAAGCAGGCTTGAGGTCGGTGCTCACTCAAAGTTATTCTGTTTTCGATAGTGTAGCGACAGCTGAGTGTGTTGTTGATCCTTGTGCAGACGGTGTTCCTTGACGTGAGTGTGTGAGTGTATTGGCATGAAGTGACTCCTGTGATGAGACATGTCGCAAAAGCCACAAACGTGACCATCTTCGACTGGATTGGTAGGACTCGGGATTCCCTTCCTAGCAGCTCGGAAAGTCGATCATTCGCAGAAGCAAAGTGATTTTCCGTTCGCATGTCGTTCTCGTTAGTTCGGCACAGAAGCTGTTTTCCTCGAAGTCCAGTGCAGCAAATGAGCCAGATGAGCAGCATCTAAGGTATGCGCAAACTGCTGTGATTGCTATCGCCGTGTTGGGGGCGCAATGTGGATTCCGAAGCAAGTCTGCACAAACTATGCATTTGATCATGTCGCAAATGTCTCTTGGTGGGCAAATAATGGTGTCGGAGTACTGTGTTGCTCCGATCATTGTGCGCCACTGAACTCGATGTTCTGTTGTGCGGTACTTTGGTGGTAGTGCTATTTCGTTTATTCCTTTCTTCGTCGAGATTTTCAGACAATCCTTGTAGTTGAGACATAGTTGTGACTGTGATTCCGAAGTCGTATTAACTTTTACTCCATGTTCAGAGCAGGATAGTACATTTACGGATGCCGTGTCAATGAGAAGAAGAGCTGTCAGGCACATTGTTATCATCACTGACTTGCTGATTTGTGAAGCGCTTCTCTTCATGTTGGAAGAATTAGAAGATGCGTAGTCTACAGGCTTTTTCGCAGCTCTCTGTGGTTGCTTGCGAGGTTCAGGTGCAGTTGTCGGTTTTTTCCTGAGCGCTTTTTTAACCTTGGCCACTATTCCTCCTTTTTGTGGTGTTGGATCCTGTCTCTCATCCTCGTTTTCTATCGTTGAACGAATTTCTAGGGGAACCATGCGATTGAGAGGTCTTTGAATCTCTCTTCCAGATGTGGTTCTTAGGATTGCGCTTCTGATTTCTCCATCTTTGCTTGGTACGAGTTGTGTTATAACAGCCATGGGCCAGTGTCCTCTGTTCAGTTGTGAGTCTTCGTCAAGTAGTACGACGTCTCCAACTTCTGGTTTGCGATTTGTGGTTCTTCCATTCTTGAAAACATGGTGACGGTCGCGAAGTTCAAGGAGGTAGTCGTGTTTCCAAATACTCCAGAACTTTTTCGTTATCTTCTCGGTCTCCAGAAGAGCTGTTTTGGCTTCCTTTTGTGATGAGAGTTCTGGACTTATCCGGTAATCTGGACCCTGTACATCATCGTCGGCGGGTGTAAGTTGAGTGCTTCCAAGCCGAATGTCCTTGTAGATGAAGTCTACTGGTCTCAAGACTTGGAAAGAAGGGTCGTCTTCGCCTATGTGAGTCAATGGTCTTGAGTTGACGATGCTTTCGATTTCACATAATGACGTTTGAAGAAGTTCGTCTGTCAATTTCCGTCGTCCTATAGTCTTCTGCATTGTTCTTTTCACTAGTCCAACCATTCTTTCCCAAACTCCTCCCATCCATGGTGAAGCTGGAGGAATGAAGTACCAGCTGATGCGGTGTTCGGCGAGAAAGAGTGATAAATGGTCGGAATCAACATTATTGACGCTGTTGCTAAGTATCAGTTCGCTGAGGCGGAAGTTGGTTCCATTGTCGCTAATGATTTTTACTGATACTCCTCGTCGTGCGATGAATTTTTTGAATGTGAGAAGAAAGCTTTGCGGAGAGGTCTGTAGCCACTTCCAGATGTATCAGCCGAGTGACTAGGCATGTGTATTGCTACGTAGCGCTTCTCATCTTGTCCATTTGGCGCCTTGATCAGTATCGGTCCCATATAGTCGACTCCCGTGTAGGCGAATTGCTTGAGTCACGCGTTCTCTTGGAAGTGGGCCCATATCTGACTACGTGAAGGGTGACGAATTGAATTTCTTGCAAGTAATGCAACTTCGCAGAACTTTTTTACAAAGCACTCTGTCTCTCGGTATCCAGAATCGTTGTCGAAGCTCGCATAAAAGCTGGTTGTTTCCGCAGTGAGCCAAGTCTCGGTGGATGTACTCGGCGATCCTAAGTCCCAGTACACTTTGTTTAGGTATATACATGGGATTGGCTATCTCTGACTGGATTTCAGCACGTTGTATGCGTCCACACTTTCGTTCGCTGTCGAACACAGTCTTGAACTGTTTGTTTTTAGAGACGAGAGCTGTGCCGTAAATTCGTTGCTCTTGCAAGATTGCTTTTCAGCAAGGATAACTTCAGCTGCATTTGGCGAACGGCTTGTCACTTGATCTTCAACTGCGATCTTGAAGCGGGTATTTTTGCTTGCCTTGCGGATGAAACGTAGACAGTATGCCACAATTCTCTTCAATCTGGGATAGCTGCTTATTGTATCAATTGGCCAGTCGGATTCGCTTTTGTTAGGATCCTCTGTAGTATGTTGAATGAGCATTTCGCACTCGTCATCGTCGATGTGTTTGACGTCACTAATGGGACGTACTGGCCATTCCTCGTTGGGGTAACTGAGCCAAGTTGGTCCTTTCCATTACCTGCAAGCAGCGAAATCTTGCTTGTTAATTCCTCTTCTGGCACAATCTGCGGCATTCTCTTCCGTTGGGACGTGGAAGAAGTTAAGTTTGGCTGTTTCTCTGATCCTTTCTGCGGCGAAGCTGATTTTCTGGGCCAGTGTGGTTACAATTGGTGGAAGCTTTTTGTTGCTAGCTATCCATGATAGTGCGATCGTTGAGTCGCTGAACAGGTTGACTTCTGTGAAGTTTATTCCGCATTTTGACATGGTTGTTTCGGTACAGATAGTCCGAGAAATATTGACAGCAGTTATAGTCTCGAATAGTTTGTTCCTTCTTGATAGGCGCGACTTTCGCTTTTGCCGTGAAGAGTGATGTATTCTTCGTACCATTCTACGTTGATGTAGTCGTATAAAGACAGCAGGCGTAAGCTCGTTTGGAACTATCAACAAATACAGAAAGCATATATTTGGCCTCGGGAGTCTTGTTCAGCACTGTGCGTGGTATGGCTTTCTTGAATCCGGCGATATCTTCCTTAATTGCTTTCCATCTCTGGATTTGTTCTCCAGGGAGAATTGTGTCCCATCCCAATTTTTGCTTGTGTATATCCTGCAGGAATATCTTCGCCGGTATTATCAAGGGAGTAAGCAGTCCAAGCGGGTCGAAACAGAATCCGTTTATTTGGCTGAGTACAGATCTTTTAGTGACCTTTATTTGTGCTTTGTCTGCACATTCCATGATTAAGGTGTCCTCGTCAGCTTTCCACTTGATTCCGAGCACTTTGAGTTCGCAGCTTTTTGCTCTATCCAAATCCTTGATTTGTGCGTTTACTTCGGCAGAATCTGACAAGTAGTCGCGGAGGTTCATTCCGATAGAAGAGAAGAGCTCTTTTAAAGCAATGTATTTCTCTATAAGCTCTTGCGGGTTGTTGCCTTCTAACAACACATTGTCAACGTAGAGAGACTTAGATAGTTCCTTTGTAATCGGAGTATCCTGCTCTTCAATGTGCTTGAGTATGGACTGATTCAATATAGCTGGGCTTGCGTTAATTCCAAAGGGAACCCGGCAGAAGCGGTAGTATTTGACGTTATTGCCTTCGGCCGGCATATTCAGGTCCTTTATCCACAGAAATCTTGTTGCATCTCGATGGTTTTCGGGAAGGCGTATTTGTAGAAAAGCCTTTTGGATGTCCGCTACCATTGTATGTTTGTATGTCCGAAAGAGTAGTAGAATTTTATGGATGAGAGGCGTGAGAGCATGTCCCTCAAAGACGACGTCGTTGAGGCTGAGCTCGTTTCTTCCGTGAGATGAAGCATCGAAGACAATTCGAAGTTCGGTTGTCTTTCCAGGTGTCCATACGTGTCGATGTGGAAGGTAGAAGGATGTTACTCCTGCTGGTTGTAGAGTACATTCCTCGATGATTCCTTCTTTGATGTAGTCTTCAATGGTACTATTGTAGAGCTGAAGCTTTTTGTCGTCGCTTCGTAGTGTCCGAAGGAGAGCCTGCAGCCGGCGAAAGGCAATATTGAAGTTGTCCCTGAGTTTGCCAACGTTTTCATTGAAGGGGAATCCTGCTGTAATTGTGCCTTCTCTGATGCTGATAGTTTTTCTGTAGACATTCATGAATTTGATTATAGATGCTTCATCGGGATCATTTTCGGTTTTTAGTCCCAGCGACTCAAGCTCATAGAAGTGTTTGATGTCCTGCTTGTAGTCTTCTCTTGGTGAGATTGCTGGGGTTGCTACCACAAGCGAGTTTCCATAAACTTCTGTTGTGCCTGCTGTTGTCGAAACCAGGCTTATTCCGGATATTGTGTATCCGAAAACGGTAGGAGTGAGAATTAGTCCCGAAGGAAGTGTCAGTACTGGAACAGTATGGTCTATGACAGTGTTAAGTATGTCCTGACCAATGAGGATATCAGGCGAGACGCTGGTTCTTGCAAGCGTTTGCTGTGCTATGTCCAATTTCTTCTTTGAAATGTACTGAAGATCCGCCTCAGTGAGATGTGCTGTATCCAGGTTGGTCGTGAGCTTTTGCTTGGTGTGTACAGGCATCTTCTTCAGTTTTTTAGGTCCTCGTAAACTCTTCAAGGTGATCAAAACCTCATTTTGAGTTGAAAACTTCTTGCAGTTCACCCATTCCGGATATGGTGAACGACGTTGTTCGGACGATTGGAAGCTTGAATGTTTCGCTAAGGTTCGACTTGATGAAACTTCTTTGCGCTCCTGAGTCCAGAAGTATTGTTATTGGTTGATAGTCCCATTGTTCTTCATTGAAAATCATCGCTGTTGCAATCTGAAGTACGCACTGGTTGTGAAGGAGTAAGGCTTTGTCCACAACAGAGATTTCACGTCCATTTTGTGAATTTTCTGCGGCTCGTACTTCGTTCGTCTTGAGTCGGTTGCGTTGACTAGAGGGTTGCGGTGGTCGATCTGGTAGCGTTGGTTGCCGATCCATATTTGCATGTCGACGTGAGACTGCAAGATACCCGTTGTCTTGCTTCTTTGCATCTGAGAGGCAGAGAGATCCATGGTGTGAGTCTTTGCATTTACGGCACACTCCAATAATTGTGCAGTCCTTCGAAGTGTGATTCTTAGCAAAACACCTCCAGCATACTCTTTGATTTCTTGCTTTTAGGCGTCGTGCTTCCGGGGTGGTGTATCTTTGGCAGGTATAGGGCGAATGCGACTGCCCACATGAACACGACATTTTGGTTTCGAAAAGTGATTCTCTTCTCCCCATCTTGTCCTGTTGCTCCTTCCATTTTGTTGAGTGTCCTGGCGACTGATGACTGGTTGGGAAAGTGTTTCCGTTGTAAGCGAAGTGTTTTCCCGCAGTAAAATAATGCCATCGATAACATTTAGGATTTCGCCAACATCAAAGGGATCATCTTGTATCGCTTCTTTTTGGATGGCGGTCGTACACATGGATTCGGGAGATTTGGAGAAGATTATCCGACGTTAGACTCGGTCTGCGTTCAGCTTCATGCCTGTTTGTTCCAAGTGGATGATTCTTGAGTTGATTGCTTCAAAGGTGTCTCGGCAACTCTTCGGATTATCAGACGCCCTTGAAAGCTTTTCGTCTCATTTATGAGTATGTCTGCCATGTTGGCCGAACGATCGAAATGCTTTTTCATGATTTCTATCGCTGTCTCATATTTTTCTCCAACAACGGGGATGCAGATTTTTCTCCAACAACGGGGATGCAGCTTAAAGTGGCTGCTGCTTTTCCCTTTAGAGCTTGTTTCACAAACAAGAATTTGTCCGTGTCGGATAACTCCTCGTCGGTGTGGATAAGTGATTCGAAGACTGTCCAGAAACTGTTGAACTCTCGGAAATTGCCTGAGAACGTCGGAATTCCAAGCATGGGCTTCCGAATTTTGATCTGCCTTTCGTTGCGTTCCGGAGTTCCAGCTTGCCCAACTTCACTACTTGGCTGACTCGGTATGCTCGGAGTACTGCAGTGCACAAGCGCACTTTGTTCCTTGAGTTCATGTTGTCGGAACTGGATCCTGTTCTGCCACTGTACTGCCATGACCTCCAGAGGAAGAGACTCTAACTCGAGGTGTTTGCTGAGTTCAGTCATTAGCTTTTCTGTCTCTTTTTCCTCGTTTCTTGAGCCGACATATTCAATTGCGGCATTTACTTGAGTGTCTTGAAGTCTGACGGCATTTTGGAGAGAATTGAGCAAATGCGTGATTTCTCCCATTTTCCTTTTGATGTATGTTTCGCATTCAGTCTTGTCCACAGGAAAAGTGAATGGTGTGATTTTATTCACTTCCGACTCGTATGATTTCACAAGTGCGCAGGCATTGTTGATTTTCGATTTGAAGATTTGGAGCGCTGCCATTTTTGTATCGCACAAAGTTGTGTTCGGTGCTTCCGTTGAGTGCTGATGGCGAGCGTCGCAACGTGAGATGCGTATCCTCGTTGTAGACTTTAGATTGAGGACGACAGCAAGGCTGGCCTCTTGTAATAGCTGTCCTTACTGGGTGCAAGGAAGCCTTCTAGTGAGTTGGCAATGCAATTGAGTGCCGAGCTTCTACTAGCTGTCAGCAAGCGTGCCTGGTTGGCTTGTACGCTGTACTGGACGGTGAGGTGTGTTGAACTTGTACCGTGAGCATACCTTCGATAGTCAAGAGACAGAGCTTAGAAAGTGATAGTTGTTTGAGTTCCTGCCCCCTATAAAAAGTGAAGGTTGTTTCAGAAAAATAGATGAAAAGTTAGAGATATGAAATGAACCAGGAAACTTGGAAAATCCATATAAAGCAGAGATTAGCACATCACCAAATTTGAAACATTAACTTGGTGGTTTCCTACGCAAAGTCTTAGGATTGCCGGTTAAATTGGGTGGCAACAAGAACAATGTTCTTTCCCAATTAAGAAAAAGCGCTGTTTAGCTGTGGCGGTAGATGGAAGACCGAAAGAAGGAAAACTTGTCAACAACTAAATTGAACATGTTAAACACGTCTGGAAAGATATGTTGCATATCGACGCCAATCTGATTTTTGATGCATCCTTCGAATTTTCACCCCCGCATAGTCGTTTCGTATCCTGCGACGTTGTCTGGATTCTTCCGCTGATTATTCTGAGCAAGTATCGTCCAAGCTGGAGAAAATTCGTTGCGAAAGCAATGAAAGAGAACAAGGTAAGGAAAAACGAGCTATTTAGTAACTTTCATTAAAAAAACGGCATAAGCAAAGAAGAAAGCTCGGCGACGTTGTCTACATCATTGACAGAACCAGACCTATCGAATACACAAAAAAGCCGATTGAAAAGAGTTAAATTGAAGAAAAGACAAGAGGTTTTCGAAAACGCCGTTTTTTCGAGATTTCTCGTTTGAATCATATGAAAAAGTCTTGCGACGTTATCAGCGTGAAAATAGAGATCAAGAGCTTTAGTATGATATATAGATTGTCGTAATTGGGCTCCGAACAACGAAGAAATGGGTTCCAGAGCCAAATGCCCCGCGCCTGGCCTTCGAGGTAGCGAGGTAGCGCGCAACGCGCGGAGACGCAGACGAGCAGCGGAGACAGACCAGAGCCGGGGCATTTGGCTCTGGTCATTGATCTCCGCGGGTCATAATGAAACCCTATAACATTATATACCGTTGTGATCCTCGTGAGACGGCCAGGAGCACTGACAACGTCGCGAGTCTTGAAAATCACTCCATAACGAGATATACCAGCATTTATATGGCGACTCTCTGCGCAAGACTTGAGCGCAGTTTCTCGTTTTTATTGAACTTCAGCGGCTTTCGTGGACTTGTAACGCTCAATCGCAGTCTGGAGGAAGATAATTGAGAAACTCCGTCCTAGTTTTTAGTTGAATTTCTGAATAAAAACCTTCTTTTCAGCAAAAAGGCCATAAAAACGCAATGCTTCGATTTTTTGAGCTTCTTTTGGATGTCACTACTATATTTGCCTCTTCACATTTATCCCTATATGGTTACGTCATTAGTCATGTCATAAAATCCGGGGCTTCGCCCCGGATGACTTCTGTACTTCTTTCCAGGGTGAAGGTTGTGTTCTATCATGACGCTCAAAGTGATGGTTACCAGAGTACATGGCTCTATGTATCGAAGGTATGACCGTGAGGATTGATAGCAATTTGAAGCTCAAATTCTGAATGAACTTTGAACTTGTTAGCTATTGCCAACTGGTCCTTTACTAATCTCTGGTCGTCTTATGTAAAGAGACCACAGAGATGTTCAATTTGCAGTGGTGTTTGTCTTACCAAATGACGCTTTTACTAACTTCTGGTCGTCTTACGAAAAGAGAGCTCAGAAGAGTTCAATTAATCAATGGTGAGAAGTTCTTCAACCGGGGCTTTCACTACTTTCTGGTCATCTTAGGGAAGAGAGCTCAGAAAGGTTCAATTAACAGGTGAGAATCCTTGAGCTGACGCTTTTACTAACCTCTGGTTGTCTTACGGGAAGAGAGCTCAGAGGGTTTCAATTAATCAGTGATTTTCTGCCAACAAACGCTTTTACTACCTTCTGGTCGTCTTACGAAGAGAGAGCTTAAAAGGGTTCAATTAATTAGTGGAGAAGTATTCAGCTGGGGCTTTTACTACCTTCTGGTCGTCTCACGAAGAGAGAGCTCAGAGGGGTTCAATTAATCAGTGAAGAAGCCTGCCAACTAACGCTTTTACTAACTTCTGGTCGTCTCACGAAGAGAGAGCTCAGAAGGGTTCAATTAATTAGTGGAGTGTCTGCCACGCGGGTCTTAGGCCTTGAATTCCCGTTCCTTAGGTAAAGGAGTCGCTCAGGAATTGCAAGGAAGTTCACTGGCCGATGCACCAATTTGGTGTGTATTGAATTAGGGTAGACGAAGTTGTGTGGAATATTTATTCACACTGGCGTAGATTAGTTGAGAGCGATCTATAATACAGTCGGGGGCTCCTTATATACACGAATAGAAGGCGGAGCTTGCCCGGGTACAATGTACAACGTAGGAGGGGTACATGGCTTAAAAGGAGTTGCCGCCGTTCGGCTACACTCCTGGTGCACAGGTGCCAATCATTCTTGAGTGATTAGATACTCAAAAATGAGTGGCGTACAATTCAGCCTATGGGAACTCCACAGGCGATGTGGAAAATGGAGTGGATTGGGTTGATGATAT